TACATAGTATACCTTCAAAGCTTTGTACGCATTGTTTCAGTTTTTCTCCCTTTCATACCTATATACCTATTTACATTTTTACATCACATTTCTAGTAATAGGTGTTCAGTATCTCCATCCCCTTCTAACAATATGCATGAAAAAAAATAGATTTCAGACATTTTAGACAGAAGTTGGCACTAAATAAATCCATCAGCTCTTTGATAAGTTTTAAAACTTAACTTTTCAGCAGGCATGACTTTGCTACTCTCAGTAGCAAAGTAGTTTCTATAAACAAAACTAAAAGAACACCACCACACAAAGAGAAAGAAAGAGAGGTCACCATTCTAATTCTTCTTGCTGCTCCATACATTCTCAAACAGAATCTTTCCCTTGAGATGAGCAATGTATATTTCACAAAGAGAAAACTAGAGAAGTCAGCTCAGATGTTAGGAAAATGATAAAAAGTAGTCATAAAAATTGGCTGAAACAAAGACCCAAAAGAGATAAAGTAGGTCAAGCACTCACAAGTTAGAAGTGCTAGAATTAAGTATGCATAGGTCTGCATTTTGAATATGGGGTAAAATTAAAAAAAAAAGAAACACACACCTACGTGACTTAGGAGTACATTTCGTTTTCAAAAGTAACTTAGGCACCGAAAAGCCTAAGTCTGATTGAAAATCAATGAGATTTAGGTTCTGAAGTGTCTAAGTCACTAAGTAACTTTTCAAATGGAATAGTTCTGAGAATTTTACCCACAGACTTCAATTACATGATCACATATTTTTTCCACTGGGCTTTTCCCTCATTCATTGCACAGAATGGATAGTAAATGAGGCCACATTGTGCAGTGAAGGAAACTGTTGTCTGCAGAACCCCTGCCGCATTTGTAAGCCTCAATTGCAGCAGAAATTGGAAAGTGAGTAATAAATTAAACAGGTGGAAATGCTGATTTTCTGCGGCTCATAGCTTAATCAACTCTGGACCCAATTTCATAGAGACATAAAAAAGTAGTCTTCAGTAAAGAGGGTATCTCCCTCCCACTTTAAACCCTGAAAATGAAAAAAAAAATAACTGACAAAATTACCTGACAGTACCCTATGCTTATTACAGCAGAGCAGAAGTTCAGCTATAATTAAGGTTCAGACCAGCTTGCTGTTTAAAGCTCAACTCTTCTAAGTGCTTTAAAACCTATGTGGTTATTCACTGCCTTGAAATTTGGTGTGCCTCATGGAAGTGCAGTGGTCTGTTAGTGATACACATTTGGGGCCATTTAACCAAGAGGTTTTTGAGATACAGCACTGGAAAAAAAAAAAGTTTTTGTTTTTTTTTAAATTGACAGATTCCAGCAACCTCTTTTTGCTCACACATAGAGATCAAACCAGGGTTCAGATCATCACACCAGGGAGTCCAACGCTCAGGCGTTACTCCAACAGCGTGCATGGCCCTTTGGGGGAAACCAAATTAATATGTTATTTCAAAAAGTTTGCTTCTCCGGTTAGGCACATAATAGATTACATTGAACATGTACGGACTGAGAAGTTAACAGGACTGTTAGCCTTCAAAGTTTCACACCAGCTGGATAGTTGAAGGAGATAAGCAGTATTCCTTGGAACCTTACCCAGTCAGTGTCAGTCTGAGTCCCACTTTGGGCAGAATGCTGGAAAAATGTTGGAAAAGGCTGGATGCCATATTGCTAAAATCTGTTTCTGTCAGAGGTTGGGGTTTTGTTTGGTTGGGGGGGGAGAATTAAATCAAAGTATTTTTGTAAAAAAATTAGACTTTAATGCTTGCTGGCAGAGGAAGCGTGAAGGGCAAGAGCGGGAAAAGGGGGCTGGGGCCTCATCAGCGGGAGCAGGATAAATGGGGATTGATGGTAGGGGAAGGACACAGGGAAGCTGACATGGGGGTGAGTGGCAGGGACTGGGCCTTTCTCCCTACTCCCCATGAGAGCTGGAATCTGGGTGGGAGGACTTGCCTTTCCAAGGGTGTCTGAGCCCCACTCTCTGTCCCTATATGTGCACCGGGATCTGCCCTAACATGTGCAGCCCTCCATTAAGTTGCTGCTTATGATATATGTGTGTAGCAGCACAGGGCAGGAGACAGGGCTACGTGTTGCAGGGAATGGTATGGCAGTGTGGTGAGGAAGGCACGACAGACACCAATCTTCTCTCACATGCGTAAAGCTAGCAACAACTTTGTAATTAAAATGTCATGGTTTTGGGACACAGATGATGGATGAGATTTCTCTCACCAGCCCCGTTAGCAACTACAGATTGGAAACAGTTCAAAGCATGATCATTATCCCCGTTCTACAATAACAAAATGTACAGGAGGGGGAGGAGCACTGAGGAATCACATAGCAACCATGTGTCTAGTGCAAAGACCACTGGACTGGGACTGTTCCTAGCTCTACCTCTGGCCTGCCTAGCGACCTTGGGCAAGTCACTTCATCTCTGTGTGTCTTGGTTTCCCATCTGTAAAATGGGGATAATAATGTAAAGTTCTTTGAGATCTAGTGATGAAAAGCACTATACAAAAGCTAGGTCTTTTGATTATAAACTAGATACAGTAGTGTATCAACTGCAATTCTAGGTGACAACTACAACTGCCTTAACGACCTCTAACTTTGACCAACAAGCATGTCTCTTTTGGTTTAAAAAACCAGGAAATTAAATGGCAAAACATATAATTAATGCAGAGTTAAGGGTGAAAGCCCGCGCCCTTTCAGAACATCAAGTTCAGCCAAACTCAAACTTCTGAAATCCAGACAATACAGAGTTAAGATAAACATGCCCGCAACCTTAACTCTGCCCTCTTTGAGCAATACCCCACTGTCATAACCATACAGCTAAGAGTAGCCTAGAATTCCTCCTTACCTGTAAGGGGTTAAGAAGCTCAAATAACCTGGTTGGCACCTGACCAAAGGGACCAATGGGGAAAGAAGATACTTTCAAATCTTGACGGGGAGGGGGAGGGCTTTGTGGTGTGTTCTCTGGGGAAAGCAGAGAAGCATCGGGTCAAAAAAAACTCCTTCTCCTATAAACCATCCTGTACAAGTCTCTGATATTACAAAAAGAATAAGTAAATAAGGCAAGGAGCGTTAGATTACCTTTTGTTTTCAACTTGTGAATTTTCCCTTTGCTAGAGGGAGGTTTATCCTGGTTTTTTTTGTAACTTTAAAGTTTTGCCTAGAGGGGAATCCTCTGTGTTTTGAATCTGATTACCCTGTAAAGTATTTACCGTCCTCATTTTACAGAGGTGATTCTTTTTTACCTTTTCTTTAAATAAAATCCTTCTTTTAAGAATCTGACTGATCTTTCCATTGTTCCAAGACCCAGGAGTTTGCGTCTTTGATCATTTTGTAACCAATTGGTTAGGATATTATTCTCAAGCCTCCCCAGGAAAGGGGGTGTAAGGGCTTGGGGGGGATTGCTGGGGGAAGAGGAACTCCAAGTGGTCCTTTTCCCTGGTTCTCTGTTAAATCACTTGGTGGTGGCAGTGTTACTTAAACCCAAGGTACAAGGGAGAATTTGTGCCTGTGGAGTTTTTAACCTAAGCTGGTAGAAATAAACTTGGGGGTCTTTCATGCAGGCCCCCACGTCTGTACCCTAAAGTTCAGAGTGGGGAGGGAACCCTGACACCCACAATGCCCATAACATGCACTCTCCTACTCTGCCTTTTCACAGTAATGGACAGGCATTACCTAAACGTCCCCTACACTCAAACACTGAGCCTACTCCCCCAAGAGAATACCATACCTGTAAAATTTAACAACCAGTTCATACCCTTTTACAGCCCCTTCACACTTGCACACAGGATATCAACTTAACCTATACTTTGCCCTTTCTAGCATTAAATCCACAGACTGTTCTCATATCCCAACTCCCTACTGACAATACCCATGGCATGAAGACCCCAGTGCCCTGCTAATGACTCAACCTACACAATTCTGTACTGAAACTATGCATACTGGAGGCTCAAGGTACACAAGCACCTCTTGCCTTTGATAGCACCATAGGTGGACTCAGACCTCCTCATATCACAAACACAGCTCTAGCATGCCTATCAAACTAATCCCCAGATCTCCTCATATCACAATCACAGCTCTTCCAACTTATTCCTCCACCATTCAATGCAGCTATGCCTTAAACAGTGAATGCAGCGGGAGTGATGCAGATAATTCCAGGTGGCTATTGGCAGCTTCATAGGGGCAGAGTTAAGGTTGCTTGAGCATTTATTTTAACTCTGTATTTCCTGATTTTCAAAATGTTGAACTCTATGTTCTGAAAGGGCATGAGCTATCACTGGGCAATCTGTGTTAAAGTTTTTTTCATTTAATTACACATGCACACATACTCACATGTATATACAACACATTATACAATATTTATAAAGCACTTAAGTTGACAAGCATTTCTTAAATATAGAGTATTCACCAGCAGCCGTGTCTTCTCATCGAGAATAACCATGCATGCTGCAATCTTACATTGTTTTGCTTGAGATCCTTTGATTCAATTTGGTGAATATTCAGCTTGTCCCTCAAGTTGGCACAGTTCACATTGATAAGAGCTGTTATTGCAACTTGTGTTCTAAAGTTGCTGACCACACTTCTTCTATTTATGGTCTCCGCTGCCCTGTGGCGACTAATTGTGGTGAAGAAAAAATTATGCTTCATCAGCAATCAGTACCCTCCTTGCCCCATTTAAGTCTTTCACTCATTTTTGTATTTTTAAGTCATGCTGTTTAAAGGTACGTGATCCAGATGGTGGATACTTGCCTTGTGAGGTACCTCAACATAATAAACTGTTGCATTGCTTCTTGTGCTACCTGCTGCTGACCTACTTCTTTCTTTAATTTCTATACCTCATTGTACTGCATAATAAATAATACAACCACATGCTCACTGAACTTTTGTCACCATTACCCAACCACAGTAGTTTAGCAATTGTAAAACAAAATTAAAAAGGGAAAGAAAACAGACTGAAACTGGTATGAAAAGAATAATGAAAAAGTCTCACCTTTATCATAGTCATCTTCCTCTATTGCTTTTTCTTGAAGCCTCTGAAGCCTTAACATTAAGGATTTTATCTGTATCAATACAAAAACGTAAGTTTAACTACAACAATGGGTACTCGTGAGTGGGTTTTGGTGCTTTCCCACACACACACACAACAGAGGTTTCCTCGGGTCTTATTTTTTAGCCCAAGCTGGACCCAAACTAGACCAAAGCCCACCTGACCCAACGAAGGTTGAGTTGTTCTCTAAATTGACATTGACTCTTTCCCCTGAACCTGAGCCAATGCTGCCACTGCCTCCTTCCTGTGAGGTCAATGTGGCAGCATCCGTTTTTCCCATTCCTGATGGCCACCACCCTTGTGTGGTCTGCAGAGAGGTGCTGCAACTCCTTTGCTCGCTCACTCCACAGCACACACAGCGCAGCAACGTGGCGACAGCCAGCAGGAGCAGGACACGCAACCGCTGAAGCACCATCCCTACTGGCAGAAGGAGAGCTGACCTGACCCCAAAAGGTTTGAGTTGTTTTCTGACCCAACCCTGACAGTTTTGATTAAGCTTAATATACTTTTACACTTACAGGCACTTATCCTAAATTAATACAGCCACACTGTTGTTCCACACCTGAAACCAAAGTAGTTGTTCCCAGTGAGCACATACAAAAGCTGCAAAAGCAGAATTATTGTGAATCTGATTTCTGGCCATCTTCAGTCCCACATGTAATCCACGGTACAAAATTCATCTAGCAGGAAGTTGTGAGACTAAGTCAGGAGACGTATGTATTCAAGTGAAAAGAAAAGGACTACTTGTGGCACCTTAGAGACTAACCAATTTATTTGAGCATAAGCTTTCGTGAGCTACAGCTCACTTCACTGGATGTTCATTTCATCACTAACACGGCTGTTACTCTGAAACCTTTCAGTATTCAAGTGAGTTGATCATACCCCTTGACTTCTAAGCCTTGTTCCAAAATGCCCCTCAGGGTGCTACATAGGGAAGACCTGTAGAGCAATGTTTATGTGGATCTAGTTTCTTCAAAACTGGGACCAACAATTACCCCATGTGGGCCTCTGGTTTCAAATGCACAACCCATGCCAGAATTTGGCCCCTCACACACATATACCAGTCACTTCATCCATCAACAAAATACAGCCACTTCTGGGAGGAAGTGGGAGCTGTTTAATACAGAAACCAACACTGCTTATTAGGAAAGGAAATGAAGATTACTGTATTCTGCTGAAATTACAATTTTAACCATTACAAGAAAGATTAACATTGGTTATTTTAAGAAGGAAATTGAGAAATGGAAACAGAGTAGTGGTTCTCTCTCATTTCTAACCATGCACTACGCTGCTGTAAATCCATATAAAGAAATGCCACAAAAGCCAGACATTTCCTGTCTTCTGCAACAGCCCAGTAATTGATTTGTCTAAAAATCTACAGCACCAAATGAACATGAACAAACAGTGTGATTACCAACCTTTAATGTACTACGGTTGTCAACCAAGCAGTCCAATAGCACCGGTTCATATTTCCTCATCAGGGTGTCCCAGTTGTGATCACTAACAGTAAAGCTACTTTCATAGCCTGAGGTAACAGAAGAACCAGCAGATGCTGCATCTGAGGAATCTGTGGAACATGAAAATGCTGCATCTGTATCCGAAAGAGATACCATCTCACAATCCTGCAATTTATCATCCACTAAAGTCCCTCTTGCACACTGATAACCCTCACCATGCTTACAAATACAAGATGAAGCCCCTATGTCTTTATGTGAACTTCTTAGTCTCTCCCCTGGTTCATGTAAATTAACATTTTCTATTTGTCCTGTTGCATTTGTTTGCAGTGTGTGTTCCATTGTCCTGCCATCTGACTGGCCTTCAGTGTCACTTTTTTCAAAACGTGAGTTCAGTGAGAGCTGTATGAAGCTGAAATTTGAATTAAAGCTATCCCAAGTACTGGACGAGTAAGAAGTGACTTCTTTGTTGTTATATTCACAGTTATTGTTCACTTCCTTCTGATCCAAAGTGTACATTTTCTGTGGTTCCTTTACTCTAGCCCCATGGATTGTCTCCCACGTAGTTGCTAGTAGATTAGTCTGCCATGTATTTGAACTGCACACAGGTAAGAAGTCTCTTTTACATGGGGCAGCTGCAGGACAAACCGGCAGAATTACATTTTCTGACGGCTGAATCCTGAGATCTGACAGATTTCTGAGGCTTCCTGTCGTATTTCCAGCAGTGATCGATGTTGTTACCACATTGGTGGTAACTATGGTACTGTTTACAGATGAATTACAGTATAAGGATTCAAAGTCATTTTTGCATAGTCTGTGCAGAGAGCAGTTCTTGAAGTCTTCACAATGCTTTCTGCCATGTTCAAGCCCCTTTGGGTTGAATGGCTCACAGTCAGCAGGAGGATGAAATTCTATCTGTTGCGGAGCTTCTGGTCTCATGTATCCTGGTCTCTTTGCCAGCTTCTTTTTATGAAAAGAGACAGGAGGCAGTGAATGACCCTGATCACCTGAAAAAATAAAGAAAATGTCTTTAAAGGTGTGTGTGATTTTTCTAGGCTTAAAATATTGTAGCATCTGAAACTAATTACCTCAGAACATTCAGACAGAACACTGATTTCTTTTAAAACACACAGAAATTGACAATACTGTAGAACGGGTATCTAAAGGGGGAAAGAGTGTTCGGTTATCATTCTGTTGGCCTGGCATCAGCTCTCTGATCTGGGATGATTTGCACATGTATATGTATGAACAGGCAACTGTGTGCTCAAAATAAACATTTGCAGGTCTTGTATAGCAGAGATCACATTTACAAAAGAACATAAATCTGAATATGTAAAATAAATACTTGCACAGCAATTTTGCATTTTACATGCACCTTTTGCTGCCTCTCAGCTACTTAAGTTCACATGCATATTTTACCAATATAATTTGGGCATTTATTTTTTTAATTTTCTCCCTAAAAATTCATGCAGATATTATTGTGATGTTGCACGCCATAATGTTTTATGGAAATATGCTTATGACTGTGACTATGATGTAACAAAGGTTATAACCTACTGGATATATGCCTCGTATTTGTATGCATATATTATTCTTGTATCTGAAGCTAGAAATATGAAGTACAACTCTGAGGTCCTATTGTAAAGGATTGGGCCCAGTCTAGGAAGGAGTCTAGTCTGTGAAAGACGCTTATTGGAACATCTCGGAGGGAGAGATTTTACCTGCAAACAATTTCTTAATGTATTAGACTGACTTGCGTGTTTTTGCTTTATTTTGCTTGGTGACTTACTTTGTTCTGTCTGTTATTACTTGAAACCACTTAAATCCTACTTTTTATATTTAATACAATCAGTTTTGTTTATTGATTAACCCAGAGTAAGTGATTAATACTTGGGGGAGCAAACAGCTGTGCATATCTCTCTATCAGTGTTATAGAGGGCGAACAATTTATGAGTTTACCCTGTATACATAGGTGCTGACTCCGTGGGTGCTCCGGGGCTGGAGCACCCACAGGGAAAATTAGTGGGTGCTCTGCACCCACCAGCAGCCAAGCTCCCCGTGCCGCTCCCCCCCGCCTCCGCCTCCTCCCCTGAGCGTGCCACATCCCCACTCCTTCCCCCTCCCTCCCACAGCTTGTTGCCACCAAACAGCTGTAGAAAGCTCTGGGAGGGAGAAGGGAGGAGCAGCAACGTGGCACGCTCAGGGGAGGAGGCGGGGAAGAGGCACAGCCAGGGCGGGGATTTGGGGAAGGAGTTGAATAGGGGCAGGAAGGGGGCAGAGCTGGGGCGGGAACTTTGGGGAAGGGGCTGGAATAGGGGCAGAAGCAGGCAGGGCAGGGGTGGGCATGGGGCAAGGCCGGGGCAGAGGGATGTCGAGCACCCACTGGAGCCATTAGAAGTTGGCGCCTATGCCTGTATAAGCTTTATACAGAGTAAAACAGATTTATTTGGGGTTTGGATCCCATTGGTACCTGGGTGTCTGGATGCTGGGGATAGGTGACCTGCTGAGAAGTTTTTGGTTAGTCTGCAGCTCTGTGGGGGGGTGGACCAGACCTGGGTCTGTGTTGCAGCAGGCGAGCGTGTCTGGCTCAACAAGGCAGGGTTCTGGAGTCCCAAGCTGGCAGGGAAAATGGGCTCAGAGGTCATTCCAGCAAGTCAGATGACAGTCCCTGGGTATCTGGGTGGTGAATCTTGCCCACATGGTCAGGGTTCAGCTGATTGCCATATTTGGGGTCGGGAAGGAATTTTCCTCCAGGGCAGATTGGAAGAGGCCCTGGGGGGGTTTTGCCTTCCTCTGTAGCATGGGGCACGGGTCACTTGCTGGAGAATTCTCTGCACCTTGAAGTCTTTAAACCATGATTTGAGGACTTCAATAGCTCAGACATAGGTGAGAGCTTTATCGCAGGAGTGGGTGGGTCAGATTCTGTGGCCTGCATTGTGCAGGAGCTCAGACCAGATGATCATACTGGTCCCTTCTGACCTGAATATCTACGAGTCTATGAGTCCCAAGGGGGTCTCTGTGACCGGACTCGTCATAATTATTACACTGTGGCATGTGTAAATGTTATGCTAAAGTTAAAAAATCCTAAAGTCTAACTTTACTTATAGTTAAAAATGTGGACAGTGCTGTATCCACCAAAAATATCAAATCAAGTACTTTTCATAATGATCATCAAGTAACAAAGGCTAATTTTGAGAGACAGATGGTCCTCCACACAGTGCTCACTGCCATATTGTGTCATTAAGATTATTACTGCAATCTATCATTAAGAAGAGGTCCCCACAATTCAATGGCACACTGAGAGTTGAGTTCTGAACCATCTGACACAGACACACACACAAATCAAAAAGGGAAAACAAAATAATTCTGTTCTCAAATCAGTAGTTTCTGCAAGGAAATGATGCAAATATAAAATGGTCTTATACTAATAATGAATGAAGTACAGAATCTACCTAATAATTTTGCTTCATTTTTCTTTGTATGCTTAACCTATAAATAGCTTTTCATTTTTAAAAAATCAGGTGCAAAGTAGAAAAGAATTTACCATTTGGAGTCTACTTTTTTTTTTTTTTTTAGATTTTGTGTGTATTCAGTGCTTGTGAGAGGTGCAGACGGACTGTGCAAAAATCAGATATAGAACAAGCAGTGACAATGAAAGCTTCCCATCCACTATTTCATTAGGTGCTACAACTATGGACTGGAATGGCCTCTCTTCAAGAATACCTTTTCAGAATGCTCTGTTTGTTGCTTGGGTTATGGTCTTAGGCGTAGCACAGCATTGACCTATGTTCTTGGGTAAAAATACACCGATTGACTGATTCAGACTGACACCAGATATTCTCAGATCGCAAGAGCCACTAGAATAAGATGAGCTTTGTCTCTGATCTCCCTTAAGATGCTGGATATTTCAGATAAAGGATCTTTTGGACAGTTTAACAATAAAAGTTAGAGAGACCATCCACCTCTTAATACAGAGTGTGACATTCTATACCTTGGGGGAGTGTCCTGGTACCCCCATATTCCTCATTTTTATATAATTGTGGATCTTACATATAAAGCATCCCTAGTAAGGTATCGGGGAAAGGTTATGATCTGCTGAAAGTCATTTCTCTATCCATATATGTATATCATTAATGCATATGAAGTTATGAGAATTGCGTTGTATGGTTGTCACTAAGGGCTTGGCCACACTTGCGAGTTAGAGCGCATTAAAGGAGCCCCAGGCGCGCTAGCTCACTACCCATCCACACTGGCAAGGCACACAGAGCGCTCTGACTCCACGGCTAGAGCGCTCCTGGTACTCCACCTCAGTGAGTGGAATAACGTTTGGTGCGCCCCCGCTGGAGCACCTCAGTGCCAGTGTAGACGCCCTGGTCTGTTAGTACACTCTGATCGGCCTCCAGAAGTGTCCAACAACCCCTGTTCTAGCCACTCTGATCATCACTTTGAACTCTACTGCCCTGCCCTCAGGTGACCAACCGTCAGACCCGCCCTTTACATTCTCTGGGAATTTTGAAAATCCCCTTCCTGTTTGCTCAGCGAATCTTTCCAAGTGACCATGCCTCCACAAGCCAGGGAATCCCCAGTATGGAGCAATGGCGAGGTGCTGGACCTCATCAGTGTTTGGGGGGAGGAAGCTGTCCAGTCCCAGCTGCGCTCCAGCCATAGGAATTACAATACCTTTGGGCAGAGATCAAGGGACATGATGGAAAGGGGCCATGACCAGGATGCACTGCAGTGCGGGGTTAAAGTGAAGGAGCTGCAGAATGCCTACCACAAAGCCCGTGAGGCAAACAGCCGCTTCAGTGCTGTCCCCTTGACCTGCCATTTCTACAAAGAGCTGGACGCACTACTTGGGGACAACCCCACCTCCATTCTGAGGACCACCATGGACACTTCAGAGTCCAGTGCAACAAGGCAGGAGGAGGAGGAGGAGGAGCAACAGCAACAAAGCTGGGGCGAGGGTGCTGAGGCAAAGGAAGACACCACAGCATCCCTAGATGCATGCAGCCAGGAGCTGTTCTCAAGCCAGGAGGAAGGTAGCCAGTAGCGGCGGCCTGTGCTTGGGGAAGGACAAACAGCAGAGGATGTTCCTGGTAAGCGGCTTTTATTTTGGGAAGGAAGTTATTCAGTGCGGGCTCCTGGGACGAGGAAAGTTAGGGCTGCATGCATGCCTAGATGTGGAATAGGGCATTGATATGCTCTCTCACATCCTGGTAATCAGCCTCAGTGATCTCTTCAAAGGTCTCATCCAGAACTTGGGCAATGCGCTTGGGCAGGTTTCTTGGGAGAACCACTGTGGTCCTTGTCCCAGTCAGGCTAATATGTCCATGCCACTGTGCCGTGAGGGGCGGGGGGACCATTGCTGCACACAGGCAAGCTGCATATGGGCCAGGGCAGAAGCCGCATCGCAGTAGAAGACCCTCCCTTGCTTCCCAGGTCACCCTCAGCAGTGAGATATCTTCCAGGACGAACTCCTGTGTAAAATGTGGGGACAGTGTTCAGTATAGGGGCCCCCTGCTGCTGTTGGCTCTCCCCAAGGCACAGAAACCCAGAGGATAGTACAGTCATGAAAGAATCAGTCCCCCTTGACCCTGTGCTTACTCACCATTTTGGGGTTCCCGCGGGTTATGTGCATTCGCTTTGGGATGGGCAAATTATGCTATTGTGTAGACTGTGCTTGCCCTTAAGTATGGGGGAACCATTGCTCTGTCTGGTGTGAACAATGCTGCCTCTGTTAAGTGTTGCATTTTCCCTTTACAGATGCAACCTTGAGATCTCAGCCGTCCGTGTTATCACCGGCCGAAAGACTCCAAAGAATCAGAAAGAGGCCACATAGAAGCAAGGAAGACATGTTGCATGAAGTAATGCAGCATTCAAGTAATGAAAATCAAAAAGTGCAGGAGTGGCGGGACAGTGAAAGGAGGATCCACCAGCAGAATGAGGAACCAGCACAAAAGCGCGGTGCTCTGACAGCAAAGCATGGACCAGCTGATAAGCATAATGA